GGAGGGCGCTCCAGAGGACACGTCCTAGATTAGCTCTCACCCTCCCTTCATCCTACCACCTCCTCCATCTCCTCCACCCTCCCTCCTCCAACAAGCTTCAGATGGAGAACAGCGGCCCCATGGCCCTCTTGGCGGGTGTCAGGGGTGTGTGTGGGGGGGGGGGGACACCGGGCATTTAGACATCTGTCAGCCACTAATGAAAGAGTTCAATTTAGTGGAAAATCTCAAACAACCTTGTCTGACAGGCTGGCTGACAGGCTTTAACTCGCCGCGTGTTGTTGTTAGTGTGTGTCTCAGTGTGCGTGCTGTGTTAGCGTGGAGGGCGGGTGTGTGTCTGGATCAGGAGGGGGAAAATAAAAATAAAAAAATAAAGTGAAAGAGAAAAAATGGAATGTAATAAACTCAGACTGTGCCGGGGCATATGCTTGTGTGCACATGAAAGTGTGTGTAAGTGTGTGTTTGTTAAAGAGTCATGCAGGGGTGTGTATCAGTCCATGCAGCAGGGGTTGGGTCTTATGGCTTTAAATCGCTCCAGGGGTACAGGGCATGTTTTTCGACGATAGATGGGTTATGGCGAGGGTTTGTGTGTGAGTGTGTGTGTGAAAAAGAGCGCGTTTAGACTTTACTCGTGCTATTAGAGATGGAAAGATGAACACACGGCTCTCCAGGCAACACACGAACACAGTCACACACACACACACACACACTTTGTCTCCACCCCCCCCAAAGCTTCATTAGCAGGTCATTAGAAACAACTTCAGTGAAAGCTGTTGTTCTTTGAGAACAGTTTTGCTTACCCGTCTTCACTGAAAAGGCTCAATGTGTATCTCATACAGATGACTCATTATTTTTGCTTTTTACTGAAAAAGAAAATCTGGCGAATTACTCGTTTTATGTGACGTGCTCTCTAGCGATGCTGCTATTATTTATTCAGCCTTACATATTCTTATTGCAATGCAATAACTCTGAAAGCATGAATGTTTGAATGGATTAATGAAAGTCAGCAGTTGGCTTAAACAGGAAGGTGTCCTAGACTAGACACTAGACACTGAATTTAGCTAGTATTGTGCTAGTTTATGATGATTAATCGTAATGTCACCACATGAAATACAAAATTGCAAGCTATTCTGGCTCTGTTCAAAGGTTTAACAGTAACAAAATACATCTAACTGCACCTCCACAGCTCACTAATTAACATGTTAAATTGTGGATAGTTAATCTGTACTAAACCAAAGTGCAAAAACAACACAACGTTTACATGTTTCTCTGCAAAAAAGCTGTACATAAGCAGCTGCTACAGCCTTATTGCGCTGGGATACAAGAAAGTTGCAATAGCAGTAATGATGGCTTGTTTACTTTAGCCCACTTCCCAAGATTCTTCTATAACCAAAAGCTTTTCTGAGCTGCACTCATCACAAGATGACCTTGTTTACAGGAAACTACAGTGATCAGTCTTCTTACAGCAGGAGACAACAACTTGTGGGTATGATGGGGCCAATCTACTCCAAGCATTTTGTGAAAATCTACCGACAAGAAAACCAGAAACCTTAGTACCTTAGACCTGTGTGTGCTGTGAAAACTTCCTAGTTCATTATTTCATCACTTAAGTATGACAGACAAGACTGGAGCTGACATAAATATACCCTATCCTATCCGCATACATTTAAACAGGTATTTGCTACATACATTTGGAATATATGTGCTGTCAGACGGCTGACAAATCTTCAGCAGAGACAGTAGGGAGTGATGGAAAGAGATATAGAGATGTGGAGAGGCTGGGAGCTGGCAGATAAGCAACAAAAGCTCCCGTTTGTTGCTGATCTTCATCTCCTGTGTGTCTCTGTGAGAAAGCCTTAACCAAAATCTGTGGCCTCTCTGAGCGCCATACAGGGGGAAATTCATAACATTATCCACAGACCCCTCCACTTAACGCCCTCCTAAAAAAATGGCAGCTGTTCAACTGTTCTTGCCCTAAACCAACATGGCTGCCAGTCGGTGCTGCAAATACCGGCGTCCTTTTCTCCAATTTGGCCCCCATCCAGCTTTCCACTCTGATTGCATCTCTCCCTGTTAGGGCGTGGGGTTGGGAAGGAGAGATAGAGCGAGGAAGGGGAAGAGTGCCAATACAAACATTGTTCCATTGGCTTTTTACAAGCCAGGAGAGTGGGGAAGTTAATAAGCAGGTATTGGTTTTTAACTGCGGCCCGTTTATTGCTTTGCCCTCGAGCGTGCTGGAGTGCTCCACTCTACCTTTTTACTGTCCATCTGCCCATCACTCTGCTAACCTCCCGTTCAATTTCTCTATTTCTCTGTCAGCTCTCCTTTTGTCTTTCCTCGACTCGTCCAGCAATTAATTTACCATCCTCATCATCCTTTTTGTTTTGTGTCTCTAGCTGATTCCTTCCCGTCACCTTTTATAGCCCTTTTTTTTATTTAAAGCTGAGGTGGAGCCAGTTAAAAAAAACAATCCACTTAATGATCTGTCATTATGCCACTATTGATTCAGTTTTGCAAGTGTGTGTTTTAGGATGTACTGTATTTATTGGTCCTCCTCATGTGAATGTATATTAGATTTAAACCACATCCGTCTATCAATTTTGGACTTTTATTAAAAACGGGATGTCAGCCAGTCAGTGTTGTCCAGCTCTGACATGATGAATATGATGCAGGTTTAATTACGTACACATTATGCTGTTGTCTGGGTTTTAATGGACAGTTTTAATTTTCCCTGCTCTCTGAAGCTTTTCTGCACTGCCAAGAACAAATATGAGTTTACTGGAGACTAAAATGTCCAGTACCTGAAGTAAACCATGTAATCTCTGTTTCTTATTTTGTAGTTTCATCTTTTAGATGACAGAAACAACCTTCTTGTCTTGCCTTTCACCCTTCTGTTCCACCCGGTGCGGCTCTATGACATCGCGTCTATGAAGTGGTTCTGCCTTCCTGATTTTGTTGATTTGATCATTTTTTCTTGATTTTTGTGCTTCTAGGCAACATAGTTAATTGTTTGGCCCATTTCCTACTTTGTGACATTGTAATGTTGATGTAGAGATTCTCTATGCCGTTCCTGTGTCTGACTTCCTGCCAGGCTCGGTCTGCTCTGTGCAGCTTGACGCGGCATTCGTCAAAAGACTAGGCGCATATTTTAAGATGAGTCGAGCAGAGAGACGCTTTTGAAACGTGCCTTTGCATGTCTGGTGGAATCCAAGCATTGTCTAGAGTGGCTACAATTAGCTCTGATGGAGTTTAATCAATTAAATATAAGGCAGTAAAAACAGTGATCTTCTCCCCAAGGATACACACGTTCATTCACACTGAATGTAAATATAATAAAACTCCACATGGGATATTTAAGTATCGTTAAGTATCAGGTCTTTATCGATCAAAATAAATGTGATATTACAGTTCAATACATATAATCTGTATCTATGATACAGCAGTTTTATATAAACTCAGACTGAAAGGTACAGTCTCTACCACGTGAGCTACCGTGATGCCATTTTTTGTTGTTAAAAGCTGAAAAACACTTATTCTGAAACTTACAGCCTTGCAAATAACTACAATCCAAATATGTTGGTATCCACCTTCAAAAAGCTCCAAACATAACAACCAGATTGAGATGCTGCAGGACAGAGAAACTAGCGAGGAGGAGGGATGACCAGACAGAACAGAGGGAGGGTGGGTGTTAAGGTGTAGAAGAAGGAGATTTCATGTTCCTATAATCCTGAAACTGCAGCAGTATGTGTTCTCCCCAGGGCTGTTTCACACCTCCAACAAGGGATAAGTGACTAACTCTCACGGTGTAGGAAAACAGACCAAATTTAACATACTTATTCCACAAGCAATTAACACGGTGACTCTGTGCAAAACAACAAGCTTGACTTCGAATTGGGAACCCGAGCACAAATCCCAGGTAGCTCTTGTGAGATTCGCAGAATCTACCCCGTCTTGCCCAGGGGAGCTATCCGCTGATCCAACTGACAGTAGCAAGAGAGTGCAGGCGCTCAACTGATGAGTTTCCAGTTAGCAGGCGCAGCCAAAAAGAGAGGCGGGGAAGCAGCCAATAGCCTAAGCAGAAGGGATCTGGGGGCCTCTAAATATCCACCCTGGGCTGAAAGAGCGAGAGTGTGAGCAGGCTCCAACCCACTTCTTCTATCGCTCTCCTGGGCCACAGGAGGGAACAATAGTGGAGAATGGAGCAGACAGCATGAAAGAAAGGCAATACCACAGCATCCACACACACCTTTATAGTCAAACTCATACGCAATAGTCCAGATATAGAGAAACCAGATGCAAGCAAGTACGTGTTTTTGACCCCTAGTGGTGCTGTAGAGCAATGTCTTGATGATACAGGGATACTACTGCCATGCGATCTTAAAATTAATGAATGAAAAATGACATAAATTAATCAAAGTAAAACAAAAGAAAAATCAGTTACTCATTTTATGTGTTTGTTTGATTAGAACGATCAATTTGGACCAACAGAATATGTAAAACCATAACACAGTACAATTATATGATGACAATTACACCTACGATATGATCCCATTGATAATCAATAAATACATTTAGCCCAGTGCTATTTTGCTACAACAGCTAATTCAGCTTCTATATTACTGTTTTAGGAGATTCTTCCTTTGGCTGAACAAACATTATCATCTGTCAAACCTGTCAAAGGGTTAGGCTACTTGACACCCCTTGATTTCACATTTTCAGATCAAGTGGTGGTGGTAAAAGGTAGCAATATGCTGAAAAGGGAGGACAAGAAGAAACAACCACACAAACCCAGATTGTCAGTTGCTCACCTGCTCACACTTTTTGTCACTTGGTCACTCACACGGTTGCAAATGCACTGTGGCAGCAGTCCATACACCCACACGCACACGCACACACACACACACACACACACACAGGTTGGGGCGGGGCTGCCTCGGGGTGCTCCTGTAAGTGTGTGATTAGAGGAGAAAGTAGGCAGAGGAGAATCGAGGACACACACTCACCCCTGTTAAGGTCTTTATGTTATGCAGTGCATTCTGGGCTTCAAGGGCAGCTTTCCTTGTGTAAAACGTGACAAAACAGCAGCCTGGGGAGAGAGAGAGACAGAGAGACAGAGAGAAGGGATGAGCATAAGGAGCAACAAAGAGCATTTTCTTCATTCATCTGCTTGGCATCACCTGTCGACCCTGGCAGACGCTGAGTGAATGTTAAGGACGAAACAGAGAGGAAGTGAATGCTTTTGGATTTGTTTCAACGCTGATGACTTGAGCCTCGAGGACAACACACAATACAAAGACACAGAGACAGAAAGAGGAGGTGGTGGAGAAAGGGGTTACCTCTTCATTAATCACTGAGTAACAGTTGCTTACTTACATTTACTAAAGTATTCACTCATTTATTTATTGCTCACACTCCCTCATTCATTTACTCACTAGATCATAACCACAAGGGTTATTTAGTCCCTTACAAATTCAAAGACTTGCTTCTGAGTGCTTCTGAGTAACTCGCACTGATTTAGTGATTTGCAGGTCAAAAGACATCTCGATGCCTAAGGGTTAGGCATTTTATTTGGCTGAAAAGCATTTTGTGTATAGTACCTGCTCCAAACTTAATAGTATTTTAAATGCTTAGAATACTATTGAAATAAAAGTTACATATCTTAAAAACTACCCAGATTACTCCAGAAACTTCCAGATGGTGAATGTCCAATGCTATTTCAATAGGTCTGGTGCAAGCAGGAAGCTTCCGGTCTGAGAGGCGAAGCCAATGCAGAAGTACCGTAAACCTGCATTCTATTGAACGGCCAGCAGGGGGGCGACTCTTCTGGTTTCAAAAAGAAGTCCGGCTCCATTAGACATAATGGTGCAATGACCCAACTTCTCAGCTGATTTATTACCTCGGTAAACACTTTCCTGATGAGTTTATAGTTTCAGTCGCTAGTTTCAAGTCATTCATTCATTCATTTAGTAAATTATGCTCCCATTTAGAGGAAAATAGACCATAAAGCAGAGTGTGCTTCAGGGCAGGATTATCTATGATTGACAAGTTGTTACCATGGCGACCTGTCAATCAGGCTAGAGTGACTCGTACCCCCGGCACTGTGTAAATTTAACCAGCAGCGTTGAAAAAGCTAATTAGGAGTTGGCTGTTCACTTTCTCTGGTGAGTACATTTAGTTTTAAGACTGTTGTTTGCTAGACAAAATTGTCAGCCCTGTTAAAATGACAGTTAACGTAAATTACAGATGCACCTAGCTAAGCGAGCTAGCCAGCTCCACACACGGCCGTTAGCTCCACCGTCTCGTCCAAATACAGTCACTTCCTGTGCAAAAACTCAACATGGCCAAACTTGAGGTTTCAAAACGGCAGTCCACAAACCAACAGGTGATGTCACAATGACTACGTCCATTTCTTATATACAGTCTATGGTCTGGTATTGTGCTCGTTTGTAGCCGTTAGAGCAAGATAACCCTGCTTCCCAAACAGAAACTGATTGCCATGAAACCAATGTCAGACTGAATGATGAGAAAACAAAATGGTACTTGAGTCTGATTATCAGGCTACTAAACAACTAACTCTAAATTTAGCCCGTGTTAACCTCACTATGCTTTCTCACTAAATCACTCACACACATACAGTACTGTATATCTGCACTCCAATGAATGTGCATGCACAAACACAGTGCACAAAGTAGAAAGGGAAAAGGGGATTTTGTCTCTTCCTTAATTTGTGTGTAATCCCTGCAGTTGTGGGCCATTCTCAGTCAGCATGCAAACCTGCACAGTCAGGCAAAAACCAGCAGGAGGACATTTAGGCCAGACACAGAGGTGCGACTCTCATTTTCCTCTTATAAACAGCAGCTGTTATTTATTTCATTTCTGTCAAACCCTGGAAAAATCACAGTATGGACTCTTGTCTGTATTTATGTTCCTCATGACACTTTTGACATTATCATCTAACAACCACAGGGAAATTTACAAACAGAACTGAAGAAGAAGGATGGATCAAGACTTTTTGAGCCAACCCTAAAATATGGAAGATGCACTGGTGAGTCGGTCAATTGTACAAACAAATAGGAAGCCTTGAGATTTATGAGGTGTCCTCAAGAACAATGACATCCCGCATTTTAATTGATGACCTTAAGCACAGCATCTATCTTAGACTTTGAAGCTACTTGTTTGCTCACTCAAGTTGGCATTTTGTAGCAATATGAACACAAACATTTGTGAATATACATGGAATAAAGTTCTAACAAGTCTGGACTTAGGCCAATTAGAAATAGTGATATTTGAGAGTTAAAAAAATATATTGGCCGAGTTGTTTTTTTAAAATAAAACGCCTTTAACAGTAACATAATTTGCTAGCGCTAATAGTAGCTAATGCTACAAAAAACACCACTAACGCTAGCTAGATAAGGCTACATGATGAAAGCTACAGAACACTACCAAACGCAAACCCCCCCCCCCCCAAACTTATTGCTAACACTAGCTAACGCTAATTATACTACAAAAACACAAAACAAACGGATGTTGGTATTTTAGTTCACATGGGAACCGAACTCCGGTCTCCTGGGTGAAGGTCGTCTAATTAAATGGCTGCAAGAGATCTCTTAAAACGTAATATTTGGTTGTTTTAAGCCCTTCAATTATTGATCTATATTGTCGTTTTCTGTGTGAGGACGGGCTGTAAACCTTACACACTGGTTTAGAGTGGTGGTTGAGTTGATCTGTAATGTGATTTTAATGGATATCTGGCAATCAATCAGAAACCAGCAGAGCATTTGAGTTTATCTTGCATTTAACTAACACAATCAGTCCTGGCTGACTTGGTTAACAAGGCTAAATCCACATTATCCCCAGGTGAGCAGCTAGTCTGTGCTGGTTTTAGCTTCAACATCTTCCTTCCAAATGTCGCAGGTTCAAATGTTTGGGCCTTCTGCCTCCAGCTTTTCTCATCTGGTGATTTTGGTGTGTATTTATTTGTCTATAGATGAGCTGAGTGCAATGAGCCATTGTTTTCTTTTCCATTGTGATTATGACACAAATAAACTCGGAGGAATGAGGTGGACTGGTTGTGGTTTTGTTGCCCATATCGCAGACATCAGCCCTTATGACACTTGCCCTGCAGTGCATCTTAGTGAAATCCAACAGTGAGCATCTGGAGCAGATTTTGCATCCGAATCCCAGAGTCCCTTTGATGGGGCTGGGAGCGTAATGGATCTGAATTCCTGTGGTGTCCTCTGGGTGCCACGGCTGTTGAATAGTTGGCCCTTAGCCTAGCGTCAGCAACGTGATTGGTGTTGTGATTCAAATGCTGCAGTGCCTGTGTATTAGTGGGGATAACTTCCAGCTTAGTGTTTTCTTCTACAACCTCCAGCGTGAAAGGCAGCTCAGGGTGTTACTTCACTAAAAACCCTAAGCCCCCCACTTCGACTATCAGTATTAATTTACCACCGAGAGTTTCACACCAGTTTCTACTAGTAAAAGGCTTGGAGATAAGAGAGGAAATTAGTTACGACTGGCAGTCTATCGCTGGGTAAAAAATTATACAATTTATTCGATGTAGGTCACCAAACTGATAAACTGATGGCTTTTACACAAATAAAACTCAAGTGGTAAAGAGGCGGCTTTCGAAAAGTTTGATCTCTGAGAGTTCTGCTTCATCTTTGCTCTCCATTATCATGATAAAAACTGGACTCACTAAGGATAAATTTAAGAAAGAACTACTGATATCCTTAAATTAAGGTTAAGTAGTAATACCAATGCTGTAAAAAGAAAGTAAAACTAAACAAATATACGCAGTAGAGTGTTCAAAGCATTCATGGCAAGGAATGGTCACCTTCTGAGTGTTATTAAAATGAAAATAGTTTGTGATTTCAATTGGAGACAAAACAGAGAAACCCAAAAAACTGGAATTTCTAAACATCCTTAATTTTATATTTAGGTCTCCATGAACTAATAAGGTGTTCTAAAACCTGATCCACACAACTTGCTAATGCCGACTTGATTCAATGACTTGTGCGGCACATTTAACAAAACCCTACATGTACCAAAATCATGCACAACGGAGACTAATGAACATATTTTTCACATGGCTTTTTGTGGAAAAGATACTGAATTGTCTCTGCCAGTTTACTACAGCATCCATACTACCTACTGCTGTTGGATTATCAGCTGAGAGAGATAACACTTCCTACCTGCCACCTCATATGCTGCCTGCACTCCATTCAAATTGGTTTCCCTACATAACAAGTGGCCTGCTGGCAAGACCTGATGGCGCACAGCTAATAAAAGCCATAAAAGTGTAAATTGTTCCACCCCAAAAGATGAAACAAAACAGGAGAGGAGAGTGAGGAAGATTAATAAAGCACAGTCTGTACACACGCACACAGTATTGAAAGGAGGTTTAATCGGGTACAATAAGTGAAAAGACCTCTGCAGGTGTATCATGGGTGAAATGCATTTTCCTACAGAGCCACACTAGACTGGAATGGTTGTCAGTAATACATTCTAATACAGTTAAACATTTGTTTACATCATGTTTATAAACCCAGTAAAAAGAAATATAGTATATTTAGATCATATTTTCAATTAAAATCAGTTAAGAAATTAATTAAATACAAATTTAATTACTCAAACTCTTCAATCGGTTTAGAGTGAATGCTACGTGTATACAAGTGGGATCTTTTAGCATTGCCTCAGTATTGTACATTATAATTACATTATAATTCCTATTGCACCTGTGTTCAAGCTTGGGCCCCTTGTGTGTGATTAGTAATTCCAATAGCACTGATAGGGTTAGCTGCTAGCTGTGCACTGTGAATTATGATTCCGGTGCCAATTTTTTTTCTTTTTTGCAAATCTTTATAAGGGAGGGTTAGCTTTTGGTGTTAGCATTAGCGATTCTGACAGTGTATAATGTGGAGGGGAGGGTTGACTGTTAGCACTGTGTTAGCCGCTGTGTGTTGTGATTCCCATGGTGTAGCCGGGCCTGGGAGCCATGCGGCGTGTGACGGATCGTCCCAGGTGGTGGGCTGTCAAGACGAGGATCAAAGAGCAGAGGAGTGGACCTCACACACACACACACAC